GAACTCATTTTGAAATATTAAAGAAAAAAAAAAGAATCGCTATGTCGTTGGAGACACATTTTACAAGCCTCAGAAATCCTCAATATATTTTTGAAAAGAACTGAGACTTAACCATACTTTTCAGTAGTAAACTTAATATAAAAGTAATTAAAATCATGTGTCAATCACATTTCATTTTTTATCCGATTTCCTTTTGACATAAAAGTTTGAATTTTTTTGACAAAATAAGTATGTATATATAAACATGACGTTTGAAATTAAGACTTGGGAAATACCATCTTTATGAATCATTCATACATTCATAATATACGATAATCAAGATTAATTGAAATAATTATTATGTCCGAAGAAAACTGCAGAACAAGCATAAATTAATATCAACGATATTAATTCAGTTATTCATAATTTGGAAGAGCGTGTGTGTGTGTTTGTGTGGGGTGGGGGTGAAGTCGGGTGTCGTTCATATAGTTTAGATTATTTCAAAGCGGCGTTGCAATAATAATAACTATTGTTATCGCAGGGAGTTCTATTCGCACAAGAATCTGTTGTTCGTGTATTTCAACCTGTTTTAAGCACACTTTTGATGTGGACGCAGATAACAGAAACATAGTACAGAAAGCAGAAAAAATTATGTTTTAGTTTTTTTAAGTGGAGGGGGAAAATTGTCCGCATTTCTTAAGTAATTACATCTCAGTAAATATGAAAGTTGAAATTATTCATTTTTTTGGTTTACACTGCAATACAATAAATAATGTAAAACTAAATTTTTTTAGTATTATATAACCTTTTAGAAATCTGTCAAGTTCAACTTTAATGATAGGTGCTGGAGGTGTCCTACACACATTACAAAATTTAAAAAAAATCAGAAAAGTGCTAAAATGGAAATTAAATTATAAAATATAGCGGAACATTTCAAAGATACAGAAGGTTGTAGTGAAAAAAAAATGTTGATATTATTTGTTGAGATCCAAATATTAATAAACGTAAAATAAAGGAAGCTATTTTAATAAAGGAATACAAACTTATAATAAATAAAACAGAAGGAGTAGGTTTATACTTATGCTAAGGTCAAGACTATGTTCGTGCCGTCACCAATGGGTGTATTTAATTGTCGTGTTTAGTTGTGTTAAGTATCTATCTGATGATGCCACGTTAAGAGGGCGAAACGTTGTTTTATTTGATATTTTTTCTATTCGATTTTAGTTGTTTTTTGAATTTTTAACTTTATTGAGTTACAAACTTTGAATAAAAGTCCAAAAACGACTCAAAAGCTTGAGCTTTTAGAAAGTGCAATCATTTTGCTATATATTTTTTTAAATATAAACAGAATCTTATAGAGACGAGTCTTCCAACATAATAAGTGTAGATGAAATAGAAAATAACACGTATAACTTGTCCTTCAATTTATTAAATTCCTCTTATAAAATGTGAAACGGAATTGCTGTAAAATGCCAATAATTCAGAATTACTAAATGTTTTATCATCCACAATAAAGTGTAAAAATATTCCACTACAAAACGACAAAGGAAAATCTGTGTGAAGGAGGACTGAAAGAGGATTAAAAATTGTTGTCTCGAGAGAGTTTGTTGAATATCGCGCAATATCTCTGCTAGCCGTTTCTAATTTTGAACTGATAAAATAGAGGGAAGGCAGCTAGCTAACTTCACCTACCGTCAACTCTTAGGCTATTCTAATTGATTAGTGGGATAGAACGTCACATTATAACGCCCCCATAGGACGAGCATGTTTGGTGAGAGAGAAAGAAAGAAAAATAGCCTTACAATTGAAGTTAAGGAAAATGTGGATTAAGTTTAGGTTTGATACACAACATTTCTCGATAGTGAATTTCATTTTAACGTAAACCGATTACTCAGAAATACTACTAGTACTGCGTTGGAATTAAGGAAGTTTATTTCTGAAGTGACCATTAAAGATGTGATGATGTGATTGGAAAAGGTTTTTGAAGAGTCTTATCAGAATCATTAGATATTATTACGGTTTTAATCAATCTCAGATAAGGTTTAGAAAGAAAAGAATATATCTGAAAGGTGTTGTTAATGGAATGCATATGACTTGGAAGTTTTTGACAATGTTTCGAATTATTAGCTCAGATGAACCTGATGAAGACCTTTTATAACAGCTCGGAACGTCGTCCAAAACTTCTTAATTTGATACAGTCCACTAATAGCACCTTTTAAAGACCATATCCGAGTTCCTTATCTACGTATTGAAAAAAACGTTTATACTTAAATCTACGTGCGACATTAAACTATGTACTTTTAAAATGCCATATAAGTAACAAGGGTGTGGATTGACCCTATGACAAAGTTCTGTATTTCGGAGTTGGTGAGCTGGGTTCGAATCTGTATAATACTACAAAATATTCCCTGCTGTGGTTGCGTTATATGAGTTACATCCAATCCCTTAGCGTGGATGGATTTCTTCCATCTGGTAAGTAGTTCAGAATTAGGTACAACGGTAGATAGCTTTAATAGCTTTGCTATAAAAACAACATTAAAAGAGATGACATAAAACTGCATGTGTATGTTTAAAAGAAGAAAATCATACTAACTAGATATATATATATATATTCGTGAAGGTGCAATAATGGGGTTCGTTGTTTTACATTTGGTGTTTGTAAAGGAGGGTCAAGTTTCGGTTCCCGACACCACGCATCAGTGAGACTTTACCAGTCTCACAAACATATGCTTATATGGAAATAGATAACTGCCATCCCTATCATTTTATTTATTGCGTGAAATGTGTATAGTTCTACAAGTTAATAACTGCCTCTCAGCCTTTTTTGAAAACGTGATATCCAGTCACATTATTAGACACATGTAAATGTAACATTTTACGATGATTTCGAATTGTTGAAGAATCGCCAATCACTCGTAAACTTGTTTCTTGCTACCATATTATTTTCTTTATTTATAGTATACTCGTATACTGCACACAAAAGATTAATAAAACATTCTTAGTGATTTACCATTATTTCTCGTAACTCGGGTATTCCATCAGTTTAACCAGTAAAGAAGACTTTCATTGCTATATGTTGTTATTTTTTCTTGTAAGTCGGGTGCTCCATAGGTTTCAATAGTAAAGAGGATTCTCATTGCTATATCACCTTATTTGTTACTCATGACCTCCATTGGTTTCAATGGTAAAGAGGATCCTTATTACTATATCATCCTATCCTGTTACCCAGGAACTCTATAGGTTTCAGTGGTAAAAAAGTATTATCACTTCTACGTCACTCGGGAACATAATTCATTTTACTGTTAAAAAGGATTCTTACTTCTATATAATCTTTTTTTATATTCGGGAACTTCAATAATTTTCATTGATTTCACTGGTAAAATTATTCTCTTTTCTATAGTATCCTTTGTTGTAACTCAGGAACTTTATATATTTCACTGATAAAAAAAATTGTTTTTCATTGATATATCTTTTCTTGTAATTCGGATATTTTACCGGTTTCAGTCATAAAGCAGACTATTTATGCTATACAATAATCTCTATAAATTGTGGTACCTTATCGATTTCTCTGGTAAGAAAAAGAAAAATTAGTGATGCGCATGAATGGATTAACGAGAACACCATTGCTCTATCTACTATCTAGCGAAACCACAGCCAAAACAACAATGCTGTAAAGAAACAATAATAAAGATAGAAATAGAAAAAATATCATCATAAACTTATAAGCGTAGCAGTAAAAAGAAATGTCAGAAAGGAAAACCAAAACAATGTAATGTTGAAAAGGAGAATTAGAAACAAAAAAAGAAGTTAACATCGAAAAGGAGAATTCGAAACAAAATTAAACAAAAATCAAAGGTAACATTGAAATAAAGAATTAAAAATGAAGCAGAAAAATTGGATTAATTCTGTTACAATTAACTGGCCACCTGCAGAAACTTCTATTAAAATATTTGGTTAACGAGTATAGTTGATAACAGAAACAATTTATATTGTTTTAATTTTTTCAGATGAAAAACAAGCTTATCAATTAATTACGTCATAGACTCGTACCAGTAGCAGCAAACAGAATAAGAAAGGAAAAAATGTCAATTACTTAAAATATCATAATAAATTAATAAACGTAATAGCAAAAATGTAGAATCAGGTAGGAAAAAAATTCATAAACGTTGCAAGAAAAAAAAACAAAAACAAAAAAAGAACAAAAAAAATAGAAAGGTCGAAACGATTTTAATTGTTTGCTGTAAAGCTCAAAATTACATAATGAGTTATCTGTGCTCTACCTACCACGAGTATCGAAACCTTATTTTTTAGAGTTACAAGCCCATTGTGTGTGTGTGTGTGGGGGGGGGGGGGGTGCCTCACAAACACATAATTCAAGTAGAAGCGGAGTGATAAAAAGGTTTACAAAAATAACTTCATAAATGTATAATATCTATGTTTTACAATAATAGATAACTGATTTAAATGATGTGTTACTTTTATTAATTAAACACCATAAGATATGTGTATAAACCAATTAAGAGATTTTGTTTAGTAGTTCATCATTGGAACAGTTAGATTTACATTAAGTTCTATAACAATGTTATTATTATTATTGAATATAATTCTGATAATGGAGTTTTGAGAAAACACGAGCTATCTAGAGCATTTTAAATATGTTTCTGAAAATTGGACTCTAGTTTGAAAACACTTTAACTTATTACCTCGTTAGTACACGACGACACAGTAACCCCTAGTGGTGATTTTGGTTAACAGAAAAACTTCAATGAGTGATCCCACAGATACAACAAGATTCATGATGATAGTAAAAGAAGCATCGTATACAAATGGTTTCGAAACCCCTTTCATTACTGCTGTTTAAAATATAATGGATTAAGTATGTTACAATCATCCTGTTGTATTTTAAATTATCTGACTGAATTTGCTAGAAGTCTATTCTCGCCCAAAGAAATTAAATCTCAGTAAGCAGATGCTGAAATAAAAATGATCAAACAAAAGCAGAAAAGTTGAAAAATACTTACTTTTCCTAAGAGGTTCTTTTCTGTACTTTTCTAACCTTTTAACAGCAATGGCTTCCAATCTGATGCGGGCTGCCGGATAATCCTTCAAAACGTCCCACATGTCTTGCTTGTACAAGCAGAAGAGATCCGAATAGCCGACGGATCGCACTGAAGCTGTACGACGATTTCCGGCGGTCCCCATGTTGAGAACACTGATTTCTCCAAAGTAGCTTCCTGCTCTGAGTGTAGCCAGAACTGTTTTACCATTGTCTGTGACTACCTGAAGGCGACCACGATTCACTATGTACATCTCCTTTCCTACTTCTCCTATTTATGTAAAAAATATATATATATATATATATATATGCAAAGTTATTATTTTTCACTAAAACACGCTATGATGAATATGATCTCAGTTTTGATCATACTATGAATTGCTTGTAGTAATGAGACTAGAAACATGGATCCAGGGACCTCATAGGAGGCTGTTGTCTCACTCCGAAATTTTAAGCATTAAGTTGGATTAATATATGTTTTACTAGAACGGGTGTAAATGTAAGAAGGTAGAAATTACTGGTGTAAAATTGTTACTTCAAAGAGAACAATTTCAATTGTCTCTAATCTGCTGTGTTATAGACTTTTCAATGAAAGAATGACTTTGCTTGAAAGAGAGTTGCCTTTTGAATCTTATACTGCGCTATTGTTGCCAAAAATGAGTTTATGTTTATGGAGGGTAATACAGATGTAGGTTTGGTTGCACATCACGGAGAATTGACGTCTGATGAGTAGAATTCAAACATGCAGTTTTTTTCTCTGTAAGTTTCAATGGCCAATAATATAAAGTGTGTTACAGAGACAATTAAGATCAGCTTCAACGATCAATAACTCAATCTGTGTCTTCGAGTGATAGAAAAGGCCGGTTACAATGACCAATAACATAACATATGTGTTAGAGATACAAGAAAGGTCAGTACAATGTCCAATAACATAACATATGTGTTAGAGATACAAGAAAGGTCAGTACAATGTCCAATAACATAACATATGTGTTAGAGATACAAGAAAGGTCAGTACAATGTCCAATAACATAACATATGTGTTAGAGATACAAGAAAGGTCAGTTACAATGTCCAATAACATAACATATGTGTTCGAGATACAAGAAAGGTCAGTTTTAATTATGAATAGCATAAAATATATATTACAGATGCAAGAATGATCAGTTTCAATGACCAATAATGTAAAAGACGTGTTACAGATGTAAGGAAGATCAGTTTCAATGACCAATAGCATAAAGGGTGTGTTACAGATACAAGGAAGGTTAGTTTCAACGACCAAAAGTATGAAACACGTATTATACAGATAACGTATATCTTGATGAACAGAAAAATATGAAAAACAAAAACATAACGCGAAAGTATTGCAAATTGCTAAAAATTTGTGTAAAATTATTACTTACAGCTTAGCAAGTTTATTCATTCCCATGCAGGACTTACATCTATAATTTATCATTGTAAGTAATCCATTTGTTTTTAAACTTTAATTAGGTTAGACTTGTCTATGGGTACTAACCAGCAACTGACTTTATGACATCCTTCTGGGAATCCAACATTTTGATTTGATATTAGTTTTAAGTTGTTGTTTTCTCTCTCTCTTCAAAGTAAGTTAACTTATTAAACAAATATAGTACAACGTACAGTAATTTACAAAAATGTATTTTCCCTAAATGACTTTAGTGTAGGTGTTGCTTTAGCTTAATGCCTTTTACTATCGTTTCGGTCCTCCAACCGACAGGTAACTCAGAACTCACACGGACAGAAAAATACAATTTTCCCTCAATTTATTAATTTTGTGAATTTTGTACTCAACAGTGAGACTAAAGAATTTATTTTAATTTGAGAAAGCCCTGAAAGGTTCGTAAGTAATATATATCTATATATACACGCATAAATACTTAATGGCCTTGTTTGCTCAACAACTAGATGTCTTTGAGTCTAGAAGAACTCGAAACTAAATAATGGTTCCTCATTGAGTATTGCCAGATGGTATTAGGTATCTCTGATCATCCTGTAAGTGCCAACAACTCCAAAATCAGGAATTGACTCTGTAAAAAAGAGAATGCTGAAGATAACTAAAGTAACCAATTTTAGTTTATACTAGCACTAAATGAACATGTTTAGACAATACCACTGATTATTGAACCGTACACTGCAAAAAATTGCCTGTACATTTTACAGTAAAATAGTGGCAGATAGTTACCAGTACGTTACCGTAGCATTATGATCAACCGTAAAAAAAACAGCCATAAATATAGCTTCGCAGAGAAGTTTGTAGTAAAATTACTGCTTTTTGAATTTTAAAAAGATATATTATAATGAATTTATGTATATATATATATATATATATAGTGCAGTAATGTAAGCAACCATTATGGAATTTGTGAGCAGGTTCATAAAAACAGAAATAATTAAGTTTTATTGGTGAAGTAAAAATTTGTTTTAACACCAATAAAAGATGTACAACATACGATTCTTGAATCTTTGAACACTTGACGTTGAAAATGTTACGAAATAAACAGTATTTATAAAATAGTTCATTAAAAATAACGAACTGTGGTGTGAAAATATCCAAATAACGAAGAAACTCGTCTATAATTCAAATGATATTTGCAGTTCCATTCACTACATAAAAATATAATTGTTAAATTTCTTTCACGTTCTCTTGTTTGTACAAAAGAACTTCAATTATTCAGTAAACTGCAAAAGCTTTGGTTTCTGGTAGTTTGAATAATGATGTCTTGGAATTGGCTAAAGACAATCTCCCGTTGATATCTGCTCATCCATTCAAAATCCGAAATATATTTAATAAATGTCAACACACGCAGGCGTGTGGCTTCCTTTTTTGTTCTTTGAATTTCTTACAGTCTGTGACTTTACTTCTGGGTTGATGCATGTAAAATACCTTGAATTCAAATGTAACTCTTTCGTAATATAAAGTTTAATATAAACAACCTTTTCTGTACTTTGGATATATTAGCGTTATATTAAAGAAAAGCTGTCATCTGTTGAGATTTCAGGCTGTATATGTAAATGGGCATTGTTAATGAGTTCTTAGACTTCATTTTTCTTATTTTAATCACAACGCTCTCTTAATTTATGATGTTGTTCAAAATTGCTTTATAGATTTGTCATTCTATAACTGAGATCCAACTACGAGTTTTTTTAACGGCAACAGTTTTAATATAGGCCATTAGAGCAGAAATTACCGAGGCTGTTGGCACCAGACTTGCCCGCCAATCGATCTTTAGTCCAATCAGGAGTATCGACAGAGTCCCGTATAATGGCTGGAGACGGCTTAAATGGGTAATGAAGAAAAACTTTAATATAAGTTTAACATGACAGCAAATGTACAACGTTTCGACAAGGTTTTGTCATCATCAGGTATGATGATGATGACAAAACCTTGTCGAAACGT